TGCCAACAAGGAACTAATCTATTATTCAAACTTATACACCAGTCACTAACTGAATAATTCTACCAACTTCTGCAGCCTGAAATTGATCAAGCATGCAATCCAGATGCATTCTAATTACTGGTGATTTGACTATAAAACTTGAAAACAAAGAGCAAGAATCCATAGAAAACATGACTTCAGTGATAGAAACAATGATAGAGATTTCATGATCGAATTTTGCAAGATGAATGAATTTCTTCGTTACAATGGCCTTTCTTCAACAACATAAACAGCACTTATATATGTGGCCTTGTGAAATGGAATGCACAGAAATCAAATTGACTACATCTGTGGGAAGGGATTATGGAGAAGTTCAATATCATATCATTAGTCAAAACAAGGCTAGGGGCGAACTATAGAACAGACAATCAATTGTTCATATGTAAGTTAATGCTGAAGCTGAATAAAATTAAAACAAGCCCATAAGAACCAAAATATAACAATGAGTATGTCCCACCCAATTTTAGAAAGCATCTAAAGAACAGATTTGACACATTAGACAGTAATGGCTGAAGACCAGAGGACTTGTGGAATGGCATCAAAAACATCATGCATGAAGAAAGCAAAAGGACATTAATAAGACAGGAAAGAAAGCAAAGTGGATGTCAGAAGAGACTCAGAAACTTGCTCTTGGTGATAGAGAAGTTAAGCAACTGGAAGAAACGATGAATTAAAGATGTTGAACAACCAGTATTAACAGCGAAGTTTAAAAAAAAAAAAAATACACAGGAAACAACCAATGCTGGTGAGGGTATGGAGGGTATGAAGAGACAGGGACCCTCCTATATTGCTGGTGGGACTATAAAATTGTTCAAACACTCTGGAAAATGATATGGTGATTCCTCAAAGATTTGGAAATAAAAATACCTTATGACCCCACAATCCCTCTACTTGATATAAGAAATATGAGCCAGGACACTAGTAAATATACATACACCGATGTTCAACACAGCAACAGCAAAAAGTTGGAGTGGAGACAGCCTAAGTGACCATCAATGGAAGAATGGATAAACAAACTTTGGTTCATACACAATGGAATACTATGCAATGTTGAAGAATAACAATGAATCAGTGAAACACCTCATAATATGAATGAGCCTGGAGGACATTATGTATGCTGAGTGAAATTAGTCAATTACAAAAGGAAAAATATTGTATGAGACCATTATTGTAAAAACTTAAGAAAAAAATTTCACATTAAAGAAAAGAGTTGAGAAGAAAATTTCAAAGGGCATTAAGAGAAAACATATTATAATAGAATATAGGAAAGGAAGAAAGGAGCAAAGTTCATGTCTGAAAACACTTAAACGTACTTTTGAAAGTAGAAGAACTAAATTGAATGGAAGAAATGATAAAGAAAAAGCGCGACCAAAAAATTCCAAAGGCAGCTGGAGAGAAGAAAAAGTGTTTAAAGAAATGTGTAAAGACCTGCGAAAGATAAAACACCAAAAGGAAAAACATTGTAGCATTTGACAAGCTGAAAGAACTGAAGGAAAAATTCAAAACTTGAACTTGAAAGATTGAAGGATTTTATGGGCAAAAGTTTGAACAATGCAGAAAACATTTTAAAAAAAAAAGATGGAAGGAATACACAGTCATTGTACCAAAACAAATTGGCCGATGTTTAAACATTTCAAGAGGTAGCTTAAGATCATTCATTGATTGCATTCAAGGAAGAAGTCCAAGCTGCACTTAAGGCATTGGCAAAACCAAGGCTCCAGGAATTGATAGAATACCAATTTGAAACATCTCAACAAACTGGAAGCAATCACTAACCTCTGCTGAGAAATTTGGAAGCTAGCTACCTCCCCAATTGACTGGAAGCGATTCATATTTGTACCTATTCTAAAGAAAGATGACTCAACAGAATGTATAAATTATCCAACAATAATATCGCAAACAAGAAAAATTTGCTGACAATAATTCAAACATGTTTGCAGCAATAAATTCACAAAAAGCTTCTAGTAAAGCAAGGTGGATTCAAAAGAGAATGTGGAATGAGGTATATCATTGTTGATGTCTGAGTTTTGATTAAAAGCAGATAATACCATAAAGATGTTTATGTGTGTTTAATTGATTATGCAAAGGCAATAGACTGTGTGGATCGTAACCAACTATGGATAACATTGCAACAAACAAGAATTTGAGAATACAACTCTGTTCATGTGGAACCTGTACATAGACCAAGAAGTAGTTATTTAAAAAAAAAAAAAAACAAGGGGATACTGCTTAATATAATATCAGAAATGGTGTGCATGAGGGTTTTATCCTTTCATCATATTTATGCAATCTGTGTGCTGAGCAAATAATAGAAGAAACTGGACTATATGAAGAAGAATGTAGCATCAGGATTGGAGGAAAGTTCATTAACAACCCATGATATGAAGATGTCACAACATTGCTTGCTGAAAACAAAGAGGACTTGAAACACTTGCTGATCAGTATCAAAGTGTACAGTCTTCAGTATGGATTACAACTCAATGTAAAAAAAAAAACACAAAAACCCTCAATAGACAAAAACAAAACAAAACAAAAAAACCCACCACCATCACAATGTTGTTAAGTGCTGTTGAGTTCGTTCTAATAGTTGCATTGTATAGTGTTTTTAAGGAGCCACCAAACTTTTGAATAGCAGTGCTTATCCAACAGCTCAATAGCAGCACTTCATCATGATAAACAGAGAAAGGATTGAAGTCAAGAATTTCATTTTACTTGAGTCTACAATCAATGCTCAGGGAAGCAGCAGTCAAGAAAACAAAGGATGTATTGCACTGGGAAAATCTGCTGCAAAAGACCACTTTAAAGTGTTAAAGAGCAAATATGTCAGTCTGAGGACTAAATTGAGCCTGACGCAAGCCATGGCATTTTCAATCATCTCATACTCATGTGAAAGGTGGAGAACGAATAAGGGAGACCAGAAAAGAATTTATACATTTGAAATATGGTGTTGGCAAAGAATATTGAAAATACCAAGGACTGCCCGAATTAACAAATCTGTCTTGGAAAAAGTTTAGGCAGAATGCTCCTTAGAAACAAGGGTGGCATACTTTGAACACGGTATCATCCTTGGTAAAGTAGATGGTCCGTGAAAACAAGGAAGACTTCAATAAAACAGATTGACATAGTGGCTGCAATAATGGACGCAAACATCAAAACTATAAGGATGGTACAGTACCTGGCAGTGTTTCTTTCTGTTGTGCATAGAGTATCAACACGACTGCCCCTATCAACAACAACAGGGTTCTTCTCAAAAGAGTTTGAGTCTTGTTGCCTAAGATGATGCCCAGGATATTGAAGTAGGAACTTCTCTAAGGATTATCTGGTATTTATTTCCAATCTCTTAATTTCTTTCCTTTGGAGTACAGTTGACATTATTAGAAAGTTGAAAAGAAAGAGTGATCATTTCTGTAATGTTGTTGAGAAACTGAGGTTCAAAGTTTAATTTTTCATAATAGCACTAGCATTGAGTAGGAAAGCAATACAGAATCCAGGTATTTTAAGGCCAAAGTAGTATCATCTTTCCTGTTTAACTAACAATCTTCTCCCTAGCACTTTCCTCAGAGCCTCCACCACCTCCTTGTTCCTCAGGCTATAGATTAGGGGGTTCAGCATGGGAGTGATGAGTACATCAAACACAAAAAGATACTGGTCCACCTCTGGAGGGAGAGAGGAACCTGGAGTCATGTAGATAATCATGGTTGGACCAAAGTAGAGGCTCACCACACTGAGATGAGAGGAGCAGGTGGCCAGAGCTTTGTTCTTACCCTCAGGGGAGTTCATGCGTAGAACAGCAAGAAAGATGAGGATATACGAAATCAAGATCAATCCAAAGGGGATAAGAATAAAAATGATGCCAGACACTAACACCACCTTCTCATATGTGGACGTATCCTCACAAGAAAGTTTCAAAAGGGCCATGATTTCACAAAAGAAATGGTGAATTTTCCTGGAGCAACAGGTGGAAAAATGCATGACATAAATTGTATGCATTAGGGAGACAAGAACACCCCCAGTCCATGAGATGGCAGCCATTTGCACACAGACAATGGGAGTTATGAAGCCTGCATATCTCAGGGGACTACAGATGGCCAAGTAGCGGTCAAAAGCCATGAGGGTCAGGAGAAGACTCTCTGCCACTCCTAGGATCAAGTAAAGAAAGATTTGGATTCCACAGCCAATACTAGAAATTCCTCTGTGTCCTGAGAAGAAGTTGGTGGCCATTTTCGGTATGGTGGTGGCCATGAGTGTCAGGTCCATGAGGGAAAGCTGGCTGAGAAGGAAGTACATGGGGGTGTGGAGGTGGGTATCACCCCATATCAGCAAAGTCAGGACAGAGTTTCCAGTGATGGCTACTATGAGAATCAGAAGGACAATGGCGACTAGAAAACCAGGATGCTGAGAGTCAGAGAAGAAATCCAGGAGGATGAAATCTGTGGTGGTGGATTCATTTCCTTTCCCTGTCTCAGTATACTGGTTGAATCTGGAGGATCATCAGCAAAAAACACAAATGAGATCTCCTTATTTTCTGTGCAAATGCATCACTGACATAACTCAATGTCTGAAACTCTTAAATGAATCCAAATATATTACAATATATTTTTTTAAGATGCATGATTTGGTATCTAGATTTATCCTTAGGATGCTAACAGATGACTAAGTAGGTGGTATGATTAACCATGGGTTGGAAATTTTATGGGTGTATTAACTGGGCCTGGCTACAAATGCCTTGAAAATTAAAGACTGGTCCACATGATCCATCAGTCAATGCACGTATAATAGATTTGAGAGTTCTAGTCTTGAGAGTATAATAGATTATAATAGATTGAGAGTTTTTGAGTAAGTAGACATCAGTTTGTAACTAACTGGTCCTACAAAAGCTGCTTGATATTTTTTTCTCTGTTTCTCTATTATGTTACTTTCATCCATGCATGAAATAAACATGGAAACAAATCTTTTTGTAACATTCTGTGTTATCTCATATAAAATGTAGTTTTGTTTCTGTCAGTTTTGTTTTTGCCATTTCCTTATGTCTGAGGAAAGCATAACTTAGGATAAAGAGGCTAAAGAAGGATGTTGATGTAGAATCAAGAAGAAATAGATTTCCAGAGCCTTATTAAGAATTTCTTATTCTGTTGTTGTTTTATTAGGTACCACTGGGTCAGTCCTTGACTCATGGTGACTTCATGCACAATGGAAGGAACTACATGTTGCCGTGTCCTGCATCATTGCCATGACTGATTGTGGATCAGACCATTGTGATCCATATAGTTTTCATTGGCTAATTTTTAGAAGATCAACAGACTTCATTACTAGTCCATATTAATCTGGAAACGCTGCAGAAACCTATTTAGCATCATGGCAATACACAGTCACCATTGGCAAACAGGTCATGGCTGTACATTAGGTGCATTGACCAGAAATTAAACCTGGGTCTTCTGCAAAGAAAGTGAAAATTCTACCACAGAATCACCAATGTCCTTATTGTGTTGTAACTATGTATTTTTAAAAGTATGGTTCATCAGAATTTGTACTTCATAATACAATTGCCCATTGCAGTGCTAAAAATCTTCATGAAAGCAGTAAATAAGTCATTAAATATCCTAGTTATTTGATTAACATGACACCAAATGTACATACAATTATGGTCATTCAGCCTTTATCTATACAACAGATGCAGAATTAAAGCTTCAGTTCTCAACCTTTTCTCTGACCACAATGTTGTTTTTAAATGCCATCAAGTCAGTTCAGACTCACAGTAACCCTGTATAGGGTTTCTGGGGAACAGCTGGTGAATTTGAACCACCAACCTTGTGATTCAAACAGACATTGCAATCTAGCACATTAACACACAGCACCACACCAGCGAAGCATAATTGAAGCAATTAAGCCAGGCAGGAATATTTCAGGGGTCATTCTGCAAAATACTTTGCAGTATATTTGTTAATACCATTCTTACAGGTACTTATGAGCATATTAAAAGCTCTGGAAAATCTGGTATTTTAAATTTTTTTAAAATTTTTAAACCACAATTATCTATCATTTGGCATGGAACTTGTTTTTCTCATTACACTCATTAACATTCCTGATCTCTTGTGTCTATTGGGGCACCACTTTGGAAATATTGAGTTAGATTTAAGGACTTTCTTATTTAACAAGGGGTGAATGAAGGTTATTTTTGTTCTAGATATTCTAAATAAAATCATAAATGTCATTTTGATGTGATTTTGTCAGATTGTTTAAGTTCTTGCTAATTGATAAAGAGCTGATTTAGCCTGGAATGTCTTCTACAAAGAGCCAATTGTAAAAAATAAATAAATAAACAGCATAAAAAGATGTTTTGTTAGTTTGTTAGTGTAATGATATTTTAACTGCTTGCCTTTTGTGGTTTGTTGTTGTTGTTGTTAAGTGCCTTGAGTCAATTCTAACTCATAGCTACTCCTTGGATTTCCAAGGAGTAGCCAGTGAGTTTGAACCACCAAACTTGTGGTTAAAAACTGAACTTGTGGTCCAGGACTTCATCTTACACTGCCTCACCAGGATTCCTTTATGGTAGTAATAAATAAAAATAGACTCCAATTATCTTGCTTTTAAAATAAATGATAAGAAGCACAAACAAATATTCAGTGAGTAAAAATAAATGCATAATTCAGCTTTTTATTACTGCCAATTAATGTGTTGTTGTTGTTATGTGCCGTGGAGTCGGTTCTGACTCATAGTGACCCTGTACAGGGTTTCCGAGGCTGTAAATCTTAATGGGAGCAGAAAGCCTCATCTTTCTCCAACAGAACAGCTGGTAGTTTCGAATTACTGACCTTGAGGTTCACAGCCCGATTCGTAACCACAACACTACCGGAGCTCCTTGCCAATTAATGTAGAAAGATGTTAAGGAAAAGAGAAGAAGGATATCTTGATAAACACAGGAAGTCAAAAGAGATATTACTTTCATCCCCTATCTCTTGACTGGTACTCATTTGGAGTCCTTGTCTGACTTCTCTATCTAAAGCATACAGTCAGTTTTCTATTTTATATTCCTTAAAACTCTTTATTGCTGTCTGAAATCATATGAAATATTCATTTACATGTGCATGTACCTATTGTTTATCTTGTCTATGAAAATACAGATTCCACAAGGCAACTAATTAGTATCCTAATTGCCCAGAAGTTGATGCTCAATAGCTCATTCAGTCAATAGTTATAGAACAATTGAGTTTTATAATAGACATAAACAAAATAGAGATAGACTATCGAGTACACGAAACTTCTATGTATCTAGATGTTGTTAAATGCTGTAGCATCAGTTCTAACTCATAGCGACACTGTATAGGGTTTCCGGGGAGCAGCTGGTGAGTTTGAACCACTGACCTTGTGCATTGTCCTACAACATCACACCAGAACTCCAAGGATCCACATAGAACAAGAAAAATAAACAAACAGAAACCCTGGGTTCTGAGCTAAGTACATCCTATGTGAACCAATTTGATCATTTGTACCTGCTGCTTTCTTTGCTGTTTATCTCCCAAGAAACTTCACATGCTGGCAGTGCCCTCGGAAATTCCAAGGACCATGTTGGCTTCTGTTACCAA